ATTCAAAAGGAGCAACAGAAAAAGATAGTTATTTCTTTACCTGACTTGACATATTTCAAAAACTTCTCTTGTCATGTTGACAAAGTAGTGTGTTAACGTATCGTCATCTTGGTAGATGTCGAAATCCCAACTGGAAAATAATCAGAATATTGATGAAGCCAAATTTAATGGAAATGAAATGAAAATAATGATAATGATAATGATAACGATAACGCTAATGCTAATGCTAATACTAAAGCTAATACTAAATCTAATTCTACTGAGCTCGATACAAATTGGCGAATAAAATAGATGCAAATCTGACGTGTCAATCAGTGCTAATGAGATGATAATGACTAGAAACAAACGATTGAAGTGATTTGCATTGAATTCGGGACATGTGAGATAAGGCGTTTAAAACAGACCCACGCAGAAACAACAGCACTGGGAAAAATCGCGCACTTCAAAAGTTGTACATTTGATGTAAATATGATGTAAGTGTCCAAAATGATTGATTTACATCATTTTGGACACTTACATCATATTAACATCACATTTACAACACTTGAAGTGCGCGATTTTCCCAGTGAAAACAGGGCGATCTCAATGAAATGACAGACAGACAGACAGGGAACACCGCTTACCTCTTAAAYTCCTGCGGCATTTGAATCAGATGAGAATTCATAATCGTTTCCTCTACTTCCTTCTCTTGACCACTGCAGTGATAACTTAACACTTCAAGCGCAACTTGGTGCTTTTGTTGTGCTCGGGATAGCGAATTATAAATCTAAAAGGAAGAATAAGAACATAATAAAGATGTCTTTTTTTTTTGCTTTAGTTCAACTTTGATTTGTTTGCACTGATATTATCAATGATCGTTTGGTCTGTTAGCGTGGCTTGCTTGTTTGCTGGCTTCCTCTTCATAGTCTCCTTCACGGTTCCCTGCGCCATCTTGAAAGGTAGCCGTGCCTTTACATCAAAGCTAGCATGCAATGATAGATACCTGTGAATAATTGTCTGTAGGTGTGAAAGAAAGGTTTCTATCATTGCACACTCAACGGTCGTCTCGCTTCGATGCAAAGGCACGGCTACCTTTCAAGATGGCGCAGGGAACCGTGAAGACTATTGTGGTAAGTCCAACATCATGTATAAAATCTGTGGTTTCTTTGAGAAGAAATAGTTATCCATACGTACCTGACTATAGTGTAACGCAAGGCCACAATATCCAGCAAACATTTCAAATGCCTCGGCGTCTAAAAGAGCGCAAAACGTCTTGTCATGATTTATGATCGGTATCGGATTTTAGACATTTAAGAGTAACAAATAGCAACTGTTCATTCATTACAAACACTTCACATCTTCAACCTAATCAACAGCAACACAGACATTATCATCAAGCAGTGCATTATAATTAACAATGACATCATCAGTACGTCATAATTAACATGACATCATAAGTACGTCATAATTAACAATGACAACATATGTACGCAATAACAATGACATCTTCAGTGCGTCATAATTAACAATGACATCATATGTACGTCATAATTAACAATAATGACATCATCATTGACGTTACCTACAATGACATCATTACCACTAATGATATCATCAAATCACCAATAATGACATCAGTAATGGGCACAAATGACGTCATCACGAACAGTGCGTCATAATCGAGAATGACATCATCATGATCAACATTAGTTCACCTTCTGACGAAAAGAATCCGCGATAACTGTTGACCATCTGTACGACACCAATGATGCTGATAAGAGGGGAAAGAAATGGATCTTAATGTCATGTTATATTCAGCAATAAGACCAAAAACAATTGTCAATGTGTAGCGACACAATTTTGTGCAAGAAAACGTGGCGCTAATTGCACTCTTTTTGATATATTTGCTTTGCAATTGAAAAGAAAAGACTAAAAACGATTTTTTTTATCACGTAGAGTACAATCCTCCGTAATCCTCGGCATTTATTTAATCATTACTGTCCACTCAGAGTACAGAACTTCTTACTGGTACACATAGGATATTACGTGTAGTATAACATATAGTGCTGTTACCACCATTCTGCACTTCCCTCCCTCCCCCATAGTACTGTCAATACTCCAGTTTCGAATTCAAAGCGAATAACCGCTGTTTTACTTGACAGCAGATTCTATTACGCAAAGAACTTACCAAACACAAAAGAAAGCACVAGAAAATGKTGYTARTACAATAGAGCGCTAAGAATCTACATTTTCCCCGAGTTGAGGCTAACCCTGCTCATACCTTAGGTCTTATGGGAATACAGGGATAATCTCAACTCGGGGAAAATGCAAATTTTCAAGTCTATTGTAATAACGACATTTTCTCGTGCTCTCTTTTGTGTTAATTGTAAAGTCTTTGCGCAAGAGAATCTGTTGTCAAATAAAGCAGCGGTTATTCGCTATGAATTCGAAACTGGAGTATTACCTACTGTCCCCTTCCCCCATAGTATAATGAATTACCTTCCTTTACATCTTACTGGTACACATAGTATATTACGTGTAGTGTAGCCTGTAGTCATGTCCACTTCGCGGTTAAATCGTGGATCCCGATAGGCATCTCGTATGTTGAGGATAACTCCTTTCGAGGCCACATATCCCGCAATGCCTTTCGACACGGAAAACCTGAAATCATTGAACTTCATTTTAATCAATTGCCCTATCGCATAATGACGTCTCGTCTCTGAAAAAATTGAAAATTTGGACTAAGACCCTGTTTACATGAGATAGGACGCCCCTACGTGGTTGGGCTAACTCTTTTGTTTTCTTTTCCCTGGAGGATTTAAAACAAAGGATTTTGGCCCTACCACTAGGGGCACCCTATCTCATGTAAACAGGGTCTAAGTATTCTTCTTTTTGAAAACGTTGAACTTCCAACGATCTACTTTTTCAGATTTTAAGTGTTTTCCTTTGTATTTCCGCCAGGTTGTCTCAACCTGACCATAATCCTTAGCTTTAAGGCAAGAGAGTGCTTTGATGCGACGTCAATCATGTTATATTACGTCACCTCACGTCTTCATGTTATATCTCCATCACCTTACCTTATTTCGCGTCCATTTCTAAATTTGAACCCAGTCCCATCTTCGTCTCCCTCGTCAAAAAGGTTCGAGTAAAGTTCGTTGTTTTTGTTGTCCAACATGAATAGTGAACAGCGGTCTGCGTTGACAAGCTTCTTAGCGAATGCCTATGACAATATATGTAATAAA